TAAATCAATACTTGAATTTCACGATTCTCACGCAATATACCAGAAATGTAGTTATCACTGCTTATCACGAATAACTCTAAATGTAGTGAACTTATCCAAATTGATGAAACAATTTCACTGCCTTCTTCCAGTCCTTACAGTTATCCGGAAAACAATTCAATGCCTTCAATTGATCATTTCATATGTACCAATTCCACCGACAAACATCATATCCAGCTTACAGAGCTAAGCAGATATCAAGGGTTGAGAAATGCCAGCAATTTCCTCGAGAATCACTAAAACCTGACGATGACGTTTCAGGACAATGGAATGCTTCGTACACGTCGTCACTGCCCATGTGCTGCTATGAAGCAAGCACCCCAAAAACCGGCACAATGCAGCTGTACCGTTTTGCTGTCACAAGCCAAACGATATTCACCGTCATGCGACTGCAACGATCAACCCTCCTCCCAACAACCGCCCAAATGTCCATGTGCTATCAACACCATCCAACCACCACAACAAAAACCTTGTAAATCGATCTGTATCAATATCTGTATCAACGAATGCGGCAAAACCAATAACGGTCGGATTTCATGCTCAACATCATGCCCCAAAACGTGCTCTTCAGCTTGTCACGTCATCAATCAGTCACAAGTCAACAACCAGCAGTCGCAGTTGCCTTATACCGATGAGAAGTCAGCGATTCTTTCACCGTTAGCGCAAGATGAACTCCCAGTTCCTCAACTCGCCCAAGGAATTCCTCAAGAACCACTCGAACCGATGCCTCAACCATTCATGGATGCACAACCTCAACAAACTGCTGCGGCCGTTCCAGAACCTTCAACGATCACCTCAGAATTTTGCCCTGACGCCTGTAAACCACTATGTGCCCCATCATGCGTACAAGAGTATTTGCTAGGACGACAACAATCAAGCAACCCCTTGATGTACGACGTATCACAGCCATCCACTATTCCAATCGCACAATCCGAATCGATGCAAACAATTCTTCGCCCCATTGACGTGTCCATTCCACAACCATCGGAAATTGCCCAGTGTGAGCCGATCTGTCGAGAACGATGCATGCCAAGCTGTGCCCAACAACCAACACCCAATTCTTGTCAATCGCAATGTCAAATTGTCTGTACCAATACCTGCATGAACACTTTTTCCGAGGCTGCTACCCAACCACAACCGCAACCACAACCACAGCAACCGCAATTCTCGCCCGAAATATTACCTCAACAATTTCCTCAACTCCAACAACCACAACAGCAACAACCGATCCCTACAATGCCAAAGACTGTCGTTCCACAACCTCGATTTGAACCGTCCGAAGAACCGCTACAAGAATTCCCCACATTCCAATCACAGTCCCGACAAGAGCAAAACACTATCGCCTCGCAAACCGTTCAATCACAATCATTCAATTCACCTCGATTAACAATTCCTGAGCAGCCACAATTCCCCACATCTTTGCAACAATCACCA